CCCCCATGGGCCCCTCGATCCACAACGCTGACATCAGCAAACCGCTCACCCACACGACGCCATACACGCTGTCTGCCATCTGCCCTGTACAGTGAAAACCGGGATTCATCCGTGAAGAGAACAACTCTCCTAAGTGCCAGACGCCATCGAATGCGAGCATTTGCCCACTCAAGTCAGTTACGACGATGAACTGCAGGTCGAGACCCTGATGAGGACGACGAGTATGCAGATGAGCTTCCCTGTGATGGCTTCTGACTGTTTGTGCAGAAATTCTTTGGTTACGCAAACCGATTGTTGCAGCAGCTGTCTGGGTGGCTGGTCTCAGACGATCTTGGAGGTGAAGATGCTGGATGTGGAGGTCCTGGGCTGGTGTGGTTACTCAACAATTCTGTGTTTTTCTGTCAATATGGGGTGCTGTGTGTACATTAATGAGGAAAAAAATTTACTTAAATGATTTTAGCAAATGGCTGCAATATAACAAAGAGTGAAAAATGTAAGGGGGTCTGAATACTTTCCGTACCCACTGTATATAAACAGGCAGATGTCTTAAGACATAAATAGTCCCATATGTCCTCTGTGTTTTCCATTTTGAGCTCGGGTCCTCATTCTCTCCTTTATTATGGGCAATATTGTGCTACAGGAAGTTGATCCAAGAACAGAACAAAATCCAGAAGGAGCAAATATCAGTCCCTCAAGGACAAAAGAAACAAGTCAATTCATAGTCCCATATCGCCTTCCTGGCACTCTCTTCCCTTTTTTCAACGCTTATTTTTTACCATTTAGGGTTTTATGGCAGTATAAAATGAAACATGCATCTTGTTAATCCCCATTTTTGAATGATTATTTCCTGCTAGACTTTGTTAGCAAGCGTCATGTAAGGCAATTAAAGAAGAAAATGAGCAGCTTGCCACTTACCGAACAGACAAGCAGTTTTAAACAGTTCATCTCACCATACAGATTTCTAAAGGAATTAGTGGCACTATCATTTGCATTTTAATACTGCCGACTAGAGGCATGCAAGACATAGATAACTCAAACTTTCAGGTCTGTAGTGTTCACAAATTCACAGCACTTTAGTATGCATTGGTGTGTGGGGAAAAAAATGGGGGAAAATGAATGCTAATTCTTTCATCTCACAAAAAAATGTTATTGTAAACAGAGGAAATCAGTTTGCCTTTGTTTAAAATACACAGCACACACACCCGTTTAAACAGCTTGTGGTGATGTCAAACAAAGGTCATCAAAGGTTTACTATTTTACTAATTCATTTAAAATATATTATGCTATGCAATAATTAATCCTCTGATTTGTTTGGTCAAGTGGCCACACAAACACGGGTGGTTGATTTTGGAACTATTTTATATTATACCCATATAACCCATATTAACTTCTTTATAGTTTATGAAAGCAATATAGTGTGCGATATTGCTTGTGTATTGCTTTAAAATGTTGGGATCACTAGGACAAGAAATTGATACCAATCGAAACCAAAAGTAATATAATCAATCAATCAATCAAACAAACAAACAAACAAAGTAAAAATGGACAATATTAATACAAATTAAAAGAATTGTTTAAATTGTAATTTATTCCTGTGATGCCAGTTGATCCTTCAGAAATTAGTTTGATATGCTGACACATTTTTTTTTTCAAAACGTTCAAAAGAACAGCATTTATTTGAAACAGAAATATTTTGTAACATTATAAATGTCTTTACTATAACTTTTGGTCAATGTATTGTGTCCTTGTTTAATAAACGAAACTCATTTGAAAGAAATCAAACTTTTGAATAGTGGTGTATAGTGTTGCTTTCGTCAACGAAAATTATGACTAAATATAGTCGTCAACGAACCTTTATCACGTGACGAAAACGAGACGAGACGCAACGAAAATGCTGGTCATGTGATGATGACTATAATTAAATGTATAATGCAATATTGTTGACGAATAAAAACGAGACTAAATGTGGTTTACAAAATAAAAACTACGCTAAAATGTCTCTTCATTTTCGTTGACCAAAAGGAGACGAAACTAAATGTTATAACGTTATTTCGTCTCGTCTAGTCGCATTATTATTATTATTTTTGCAGTATTTCTGTTTCCTGTGTCTCACTTCAGGGGCTGCATCAGGTCGCACTGCGCAGACGCAGGCGACGTCACTTCCTCAAGCCCCACTCGCGGATTGGTCTCTTCATTAGAAATTAGCCTACTTATTTTTTATAATATTAAAAATATCTGTATGACATTATATTCTGCAGTTCTTCCCTGTTGTACCGAATATCTATACTTTTCAAATTATCATATCGAAGTTAGAAATTCAAATATTGTGACAAAATTAATGTTGTAGGGCGCCACAAATTTGTTAAAATTTCCAAAGGGTGCCGCTACTAAAGAAAGGTTGGGAAACACTGATTTAGTAGATGAAAACCAAACAAAGTTAAGTCTGACACAGAGAAAGGGACCGATGGCCGGCCAGCCGGGGTTCGTCTTTATTTAAATTTATGTGTGTGTACTTCTAACCTGTTTGGTTGGTAAAATAAATGTTGTAAATTCAAATCAGAGCATCTTCCGTGTCTGGAATGGATGTATTCTTGAGTCTATAAGGTAACAATAATATAATAAGATAACCTTGTTTGAAATGGGTTTGGCTAAAAGAAAATTTTGGTTTCGTCTATACTACTAGGCAAGGGCGTAATTTCCACTGGGGACAGGGGGGACATGTCCCCCCCACTTTTCAAAGTCCAGGACCGTCGCGTGCACACTCTTAAAAATAGCTCACTGAAAGTTCTAATGAGCAGGTATCGCTGTTGCGGCACAGTCAGCAAAGAAACGCCAGAAGCAGCAACAGATGACTTTAATGTCATCATGGACGAAAAGAAAGAAAGAAAGAAAGGAGATGCGAGTTGGTTGATTCAGTAAATTAGCTCAGGTCAGGATAATCATATTTTCTGTCTACACCTGTTAATGTTAGCCTAATGAGCTAAGGTTAACATACACTGTTGCTAGGTAACAGACTGTTGTTAGCTAAATATTTAATGCAGAACAGTGGTTCCCAAACTGGGATACGTGAGTCGACAGAGGGGGTACGCGAACAAAATGCTGAGTTTTGCGGTGTTTCGTGAACGAATCGTTCGCAAAAGTCATTGATTCAATTATTCATTTATAAATACAGCCACTTGCTTAGTTACTGAATGAATAAATGACTCGATGACTCATGCATTAACACAGTGACTTACCGCCACCTACTGGCGGTTTTAGTATTTAATCACTTTTCATCATCATTGCATATTAATCTATTGAACTTTTTTTTTTTTTAAACATTAATATTCTACTTATAAAGATAAAAAATGCATGGGAACGTCAATTTAGGGGGCAAACATTGTCCTGTAATGGAAAAGGTGTAATCTACGTGGAAGGGTAGAGGTAGGCCTAAGCAGAAATTCCTCAGGGGGTACTCCACTCTAAAAAGTCTGGGATCCACTGCTGTAGAACATTCTGTCCTGTGCAACAAGTGATTAATTTAATATTTTCAGGTACAGCGGTTAGTTTGAAATAAAAGTTTAAGAGTGAAAATTGAGTCTCACATTATTTAAACATTATTCAAAACATTAATGGTGAACATTTTCGACTTTATAAAATGATTCTCTCAAGTCTTGGCGATCGGCCCCTATTAAACAATAAAGAAAGTAAGACATCTTTTTCTTATACATAGTTTAGTAGCCTACTATTCTTTTTGGCAGAATTTATCATTAATCAACTTAATTATTTCCTAGATTTTGTATCACCATAGTCCATAAATGTATGTACATGCAGAAAATGGGATTCAAATCGAAAACATTTTCCCCCATTTTGTGTCCCCCCCACTTCTCAAACCAAAGTTACTCCCTTGCTACTAGGTACTTATACTATATTGACTGGGTTAAATAGAATTGCATTTCTAAAAAGAGACTAAAATACAATTTTCATTGACTAAAACTAGACTAAATGTCATCAGTTTTCATTGACTAAAACTAGACAAATAGACATCGATAATTCTGACTAAAATAAGACTAAAACGCGACTAAAATGCTCAGACTTTTAGTTGACTAAAAAGAGTTTGAACGTGACTAAAACTAATAAAAACTAAAATGACAGCTTCACACAAAGACTAGACTAAAACTCAAATTAAAACAGGCCGCCAAAAACAACACTAGTGGTGTATGATGTCTGTTTCAAATAACTGTTCTTTAAACTTTATATTCATCAAATAATAATAAAAAGGCACTGTATTGTGGTTACCACGCTTCATTTCAGAACAACCATTTTAACTATTATAATAAGAAATTTTCTTGAGCATTATGGATATCATTATACTTCAGGATGCCAGCAAACTGTTTAGGCATGCTCTCAATGTACAAATCTACTCTTGCTAAGGAATTACCTTTTCAACAGCAGCTACTGTTTGTACTTGATTATATACTGTCAATAAGAGGTGGTAGCCAACATGCAAATTCACTAATGGCTGGAAGCTTCTCTCTGCTGGCTGGCAAAATTAGACTACACTAGGCTAGACTAGAATAGAATAGAAGTGTAGCTTCACCCCTACCTGTTCAGGGTTGGCTGGGGGAGAGAATCTTTTGGCACAAATCACAAAAATGTCAGGGTGTGGCTTGCCATTCTTTACTTCAGGATCATCTCCAAGTACAATGTGACTGAAGAGGCTGAAGAACACTTTATGACGGCTGGTCTTCATCTCAAAGGTTAGACCTGCTGAGCTTGTGCCAACAGCAATAGGAATGCCATGCTTGTGTAGATGCTTGACAAGCTTTTCTACACCTGAAAAGACATTAGAAAATGGTCACTTAAATTAATAAGCAAGCAGTGTGACCCTTAACTTCAACCAGCTTCTTTGATGACTTTGAGGCAAACGTGTGGCTTAGATGCTTCATTGAGTCCCTCCTTCACCTTCAGTTTCAAAATAACCTTCCATTTCCAAACCTACAAGTACATTACCTGGCAATAGAGAGGCTGTGGGAAATAATCGCTCCTGAATGTTTCTGGTCTCCTCCAGGAGCTCTTCGGGGGTCATGGGGAGATCAATTTGGTCTCTTATGATCCTGGCTGCCTCCAGAGCTTTCTTGCCCATCACAGAGGACTTCACTTCCCAGGTATACTGCTTATTGAACCTGTCACAGACTTCCTGGAATGCAACTGTGTACAACCTCTCTGTGTCTGTAAGAGGAGATATACAGTACAAAACACAAAACAAAAAAGTAATACAGTGTAAACTGATGGGACGTATTAATACAGAAACTGATGAGTATTACTAGATCCGTTGCTTAAGAGTGCGTGACACCTGCAAATTCTATAAAATATGTATATTTTAATATTTTTGATGTAAAGATGAACGCTCGGCACTAAAACGGGGGGAAACGAAAAGGCTAAATAATCAAATAAATAGCATAAAACTAAACATTGAAACTAAGCTATCAGAAACAGACTCAATGAAGACGGTGTCTTTCTAATTCTGCCGCATGCAAACAGAAAGCGCTGAGTTGACTTAACATCTCGTTTATTTTAACAGGATTCTCACCCACCTAATAACAATCCATCCATATCAAAAAGCACGTGTGTTACTGGTTTATAAGACATGTTTTTTAGCGATACTACACGGAACTCAGGAGAGACAGCGTCGTGAAACCTGCTGGACAATCAAATAGATCAACACCTTCAAATTCAGAGAACTTCAGTTCATGTCTTGCTTGATAGATTTAAATGTTGTCAAAATGTATATGCTTAAAAAAATTACTATACATGTACTATTTTTACCTAGCCCTTTTCTTTTCTGCGATTGATTTTTGAATAACAACTCAGGGCAACTTTTGACTCGCCATTCTTTTTGCAAGGGATTATGGGAAATGTAGTTATTCCAACCCATTGCTCTAACAGCCTGCTGTCAGAGGGAAATATCAAGGCATATTGGTTTTATATATTTCTTTTTATTAAATGTAATTATTTTCAATGCACATTCAATGTTAAAGTTTTTTTTAGCAATATCTGTGTTAATATATGTTTTTAGTCCTAAACTGATTTTGTTGATTGCTCCTGAACATGTATTCATCTGTTCATATTACACATTGATACATTTATACAATATTAAGAAAAGATGAACGCTCGGCACTAAAACGGGGGGGAAACGAAAAGGCTAAATAATCAAATAAATAGCATAAAACTAAACACTGAAACTAAGCTATCAGAAACAGACTCAATGAAGACGGTGTCTTTCTAATTTTGCCGCATGCAAACAGAAAGCGCTGAGTTGACTTAACATCTCGTTTATTTTAACAGGATTCTCACCCACCTAATAACAATCCATCCATATCAAAAAGCACGTGTGTTACTGGTTTATAAGACATGTTTTTTAGCGATACTACACGGAACTCAGGAGAGACAGCGTCGTGAAACCTGCTGGACAATCAAATAGATCAACACCTTCAAATTCAGAGAACTTCAGTTCATGTCTTGCTTGATAGATTTAAATGTTGTCAAAATGTATATGCTTAAAAAAAATTACTATACATGTACTATTTTTACCTAGCCCTTTTCTTTTCTGCGATTGATTTTTGAATAACAACTCAGGGCAACTTTTGACTCGCCATTCTTTTTGCAAGGGATTATGGGAAATGTAGTTATTCCAACCCATTGCTCTAACAGCCTGCTGTCAGAGGGAAATATCAAGGCATATTGGTTTTATATATTTCTTTTTATTAAATGTAATTATTTTCAATGCACATTCAATGTTAAAGTTTTTTTTAGCAATATCTGTGTTAATATATGTTTTTAGTCCTAAACTGATTTTGTTGATTGCTCCTGAACATGTATTCATCTGTTCATATTACACATTGATACATTTATACAATATTAAGAAACATATATAAATAACACCATCAGAAGGTACAATGATTAGCAAATATTTAAATAAAATAAACGAAATGTTTAAGATATAAAAACAAAAATAAAGCAAAGAAACATTATGATGTAAAATCAATAAGAAAAAATAATAATAATACTCTGCACTTGTCACATGTCATTCAGTTTGGACTTTGTTTTCCTTTTGCGCCGTTCACCTGCATTGAGTAGCAATATCTGTGTTAATATATGTTTTTAGTCCTAAACTGATTTTGTTGATTGCTCCTGAACATGTATTCATCTGTTCATATTACACATTGATACATTTATACAATATTAAGAAACATATATAAATAACACCATCAGAAGTTACAATGATTAGCAAATATTTAAATAAAATAAACGAAATGTTTAAGATATAAAAACAAAAATAAAGCAAAGAAACATTATGATGTAAAATCAATAAGAAAAAATAATAACAATACTCTGCACTTGTCACATGTCATTCAGTTTGGACTTTGTTTTCCTTTTGCGCCGTTCACCTGCATTGAGTTAATTGTGTCATTTTGTTCAGGTTTGTGTAGTTAATTATCCTTGTTGGTCTGTGTATTAAAAGTTCCTGATCGAGTGCCCTGTTCTAGTTTGCCCGGTCTCATCAATGTCTGTGTTTGAGGATTAGGCCTACCTGTTTGTTGGATTACCTGAGTGTTGGATTATATACTTTATAAACCTTCTTCATCTTCTTTGTGAGTTTAATACAGCGTAGCTGTGACAGCACTATTTTTTAGGTCATTAATCAAATAAGAATATTACTGGCATTGCCCGTGTTATCTAATTTGTACAAAAGGTCAGTATCTTTGCTTCTATTGAAGCAAACAAGATGCTCTTTAGAAAATCATGCTGGGATGGCATGAATCATCAGGTTTTGCACAAACATGAGGAGACCATGCCAGATTGAGGGGGGACCAATAACTAAGATAAATTATTTATTTCTTATTAATGATAAACTTAATAAGCAAATTAAATGTTAAAATTATCTGTATGATAATTTACAAACTAAATAACGGCGATTGGCCTATATAGCAATTAAGCTGCGCACAAGATGAAGCAAATTTTCGTAATTTTTCGAGCAAAATGGTTCAAGCGCAACTTTTGAAGTTCTTTAAAAAGAAGACAACAGAAGGTATGATTTTTCCTTGATTAGAAATTAAAGACATTCCCCTGACATAATGTTATTGTGCTGTATGTGTGACTGTGAGGGACTGAGAGTAGCCTATATCGTCTCAGTCACCGACTTTGCAAAAAACAAACAAAAACACGTTTTGAGAGTACAAAATCTGTGTGATTAAGCCTATTAGAATGGAGTTAGAATTCCCTTATAATTCAAGCAATGAAAGAAAAATACCCATGTTTGAGTTTTTATGTTTTTACAGGCTATTCATCGCACAAGCAATGTCATTTCCTGAATATCATTAGCGCGTGTGCGCGAGCACAAATGTGCTATTAATTTTATACAACAGTGCAGAGTAACTTTAATGAATCTGTTTTTAACTAATTTAATGGCCAGTGATTCAACAGTCCATTCAGATGGACTCACTTGTTTCGTTGAATCAGCCGTTTTGAATTTGAGTCAATAAATCATTTGAGTCAATAAATCATTTATTAAAACATGTAAGTGATTGCAATCAGTCACAAGTATACTTTATCAAGTACAAACACGCACACATACAAATCTCATGCAATAAAAAAATCACATAAAATGACACGTTTCACTGTTCAAATGTACCATGTTTGTCCACCGCAAACCAAGCCGCTTCTCTTTTTATGTGAGTTTTGTAATCTTTTAAAGTTGTGTTGTATAAAACAGGATGATGCGACACAAAATTAGCGATTCCTCCATGTTTTAAATTTCTGTACTAAGAGGTCAATTTGTGACGTTTTGAGCTTCTATTGGTCTCACGCATTCACGTGACGCATATTTGCACGTCAGAGTTCACCAAACTTGAACTTTGCTATGCAGCGAAATATCTTCGTACGGGCTTGCGTTTCCAGTCTAACGCATTCGCATGTGTATGAATGGAAGTCAATGGAACAAAAAGTCTAGTCTGACCACGGCTTAAACCAGCCAAGGTGCAAGGTGCACAAAAACACATTCAGCAAAATATCATTTAATTATCAATATTGACCAAAATTCCTCCATTTCAGGCCCCAGAAGGAAAACAGCTTATAAATAGTTCATTTAATAAAGCACATTTTTCATTAAATGAAAAATCTGTTTAAAAATTAGACAAATTTTAGTAATCATTGTGTAAAATTAGCTACAGGACCCCCGCACCACCAAAGAAATTGACCACACCATCAGATCACCCCTGAATTTTTTAATTTTTTTATTTAACCCTCTACCACATGGTGTAGCCAAATTAACTCTTTGTGTTCATTTTCTTGCCACTGTCTCTTTAAGAGAACATTCTCGGGGGTTTTTTGTTGGAAAGAGAAGAGAAGACCTTAGTTTATCCAAAGATGTGCTTTGATTAAGTCATATGACATACAGTTTTTTTCTGTGGCGAGATTTCTGACAGACTGCCGTCTCTTGTCGGTAGTTGCTGAAAGCAAACTAAAACGTCAGTAACAAACAAGGACCAGTCCGTGTCACTTCTACAAAAAAATCTAAAAAAAACATCACTGTTATGATGTTATGATGACATATTCACCTCTCAAAAAAGTTTTTATAAAATTTGTTTTTGGTAAATCATTCAAATGTATATAAGGCTCATGTTCATAGTATTCCTCTCAAGAGAGATTGCATAATGCTGAATTTTCATGAACTGCAATGTTTTTGGTTTTATGTCAGTGTTTTATGATACATTATATACAGTATTATATTCGTCTTAACTGTATAAATTTGCAATTTAAATAATGTTCATGAAAAATGTAATGAAATTAAAACAATTATAAATCATTATTCAGCAAAAAAAGAATAGAATAAATAAAAGCACAAGTTATTGGAAAGTATGTATAAGGTGTCAATTATAAGTAAGTACTGTGTTCAAGCTTATAATAGCATCAATTGAATCAACACAAACAACATTTCTGAGGAAAAATATTAATTATAAGTAAGCTTACACTTATTCTAAGTTAGATCCACTATTGTATGCTGTTGCCGTATGGCAACATATCATAAAGTACCCAATTTTTTTTTTACAGCACTTCAAGTTAAGCCATTCTTAGAAAAGAAAAAGATTAGTATCTTTTTTTTCTATAGGTCTATCATAATGCGTGCGGTAGAGGGTTACATTTTTTTTTTTTTTAATTTTTACAATTCGACCACTGGTCATACTAATTATTGTTCTAAAATTTTCGGCACATAACTCGTCAAGCATGTTTGTGCATAATGGTTCATCCAATTGTGCAGTTTATTGAGCTTACAGAGGTTTGCTATACTTTTGTAGTCTATCAAATTTATAATTTTAATTTTGAAAAGGGGGTCATTATTGTACATAACGTAATATTACAGAAATGGGTGGACCTGGACCCCCCCCCTTTAACACCTTAGAAATCACCTAGCACACCCTACCCACATTAGCAACAAAAGTCAACAAACTATATACTATTTGTTTGAATTTGTTCATTAATTAATTCATTTACTTATTTATCATCACCCTTTTAAATTTTTCTCTGGCTGAAATCCACACACCAGCATCGAGGAAGCAGATACACCTGCCAGGTCTGCATTTCATCCACATTTCACAAGCTAATTGGAAGCACAATGTAAAGTGCGAGAGCCTTGTTAAGAGTAGAGGCTTGT